ACGAGAAGCTCTTGGGGCTTTCCCAAACCTGTGTCGAGAGCTGGAGTTAAATGAAATCTCAGATTTGCCTTCTTAATAGTTTGTTTGGGTCCCTCACTTCCGTTTTGCTTCTCATGCACTGATTCGCTAGCTGAACAGCCAATCAGAGTGATTTCTTTTGCCGACAGCCTTTGGCCGACTGCCCACCGATTCAACATGAATCGGTGGGCAGTCGGCCGAAAAAGTGTCGGCACGGCTGAAAAGACACGCCGGTGCGGGACACACCAATCTGAGTAGGGCGTGTCGACGCTCATCGTCGGCCTGACGGCCAAAATCGGCTTGATGTGTCCGAGTCTTTAGACTTCATTATATTTCACATCATTCATCCAGATCTGTAAAGTAACTAAAGGTATTAAATACATGTAGTGGAGTAGAAGTACACCATCTACCTCTGAACTGTAGTGGAATAGAAGTACTAAGTAGCAAAACATGTAAATACTCCAGTAAAGTACAAGTACCTCAACATTTTACTCAAGTACAGTACAATATAATTATATATTTTATTTATTTCACATTTAAATAAAGCAATTAATTCGGTTAACAATGTTTAGTTTTTCTCTTTAAAAAATAACAAAAAGTACCTACAAGAATACCGTTAAAGTACCGGATCGATAAGCAGTATCGATAAGAGTAGTAGTACCGTTAAAAAACCTTAACGATACCCATCCCTAGATATTACACAAGTAAAGTGTTAAGAGAGTGAAATGTTGCTTTACGAATTTCAACACTTGATGCTGTCACATTGATTCCAATTTCAGATACCTGTATTTGCCTAACTGAATTGGTTTAAAGAGAGAAAACAGACTAAAAGTTGACTCAAATTACATTTTTCATCGACTAAAACGTTTTGAGTTTTCGTCGACTAAAACTATGAAGGATAGAAATGACTAAAACTATTAACCATTTTCGTCTAAAGACTAAATCAAAAATAGCTGCCAAAATTAACACTGTTATATACAGTCATTTTAAGACACTTTCTGGTGCAAAATTCTGTTCATACAGGATTACAAATACATTTAACATCTTTTACACTTTTGTATCATTATTACAGTATTTTTAGTATGTCAAAGATTACGAAGATTACAAGTAATATTTGGCGGTTTTACACCTGTTCACCAACAGGGGGTCTTGTGTGCACATGAAGCCTCATGAGATGAACCTTTAGTGAACCGATTTGCTGGAAAGCTTCATAAGGCTTCATCTCGCCATCACTAGTTAAAGGGCATGCTTTTGTTTTACATCATACATACACAAACACAATTTTCTTTCTTTATTTTTACTAGATTGAGTGCACGCAATCTTGTTTAAAATAACTATTGTGTTGTGTTAATCCTGTTGTTAGTGTCTTGCAGCTCACCTTGCTCCTGGCAAAAGGCTGAGCTGATGAAAACCACCTGCCTATATAGATGTGTCAGCTAATTGGACTACGCCATTCCCCTCAAACCCTGAGGGGTGTTTAAAGAGGCCACGTAATTTAAGCCGCCCATATTTAGAGCCTCTTCCCCCTGCACTCAACAATGGACTGGCCAGTATGATATGAATGCCTGCGGTGTGTATGTGAGATGCTCTTGGATAGAAGAGCACACAGAAAGTCACCCATTTTGGTGACGGTTTTTGTTTATTCAATAATGCTAGATTATATCTGTGTATATTATTAACAATACACCTTTTTTTTCATCCTAATTGATTTTGTTACCCATCCTAAAACTATATATTGGGTAAATAAAATCCTTATTTTTTCCACTTCAACCTGCATTCCTAGTTTTTGCGTACCCTGGTCCTGGTGCCTTTGGTCATTTTGGGTCAGAGTTATTTTCCAATTAGCATTTTTTTGTGTATAACGTATCGTTTTAATCATATTATAGCCATTGCATGACTGCACTTTCTTTTTTTGTTTGGTTAAACAAAATTTAAATTATAATTTTCACTTCAATGATACATTGCCTGGGACAACTCCAACCAACACTGCAAACTCTTGTGCATGCATCAGTTTTTATTGAAGTAATACAAATATAATAAAGGCATATATTTGAACTTTGAACTGTGTCATTCATTTAATTAACAGTTTTTTTTATCAGTGTATAGTGGATGTTTAAAGCACTTTAATTTGCTCCAATAACACTTACTTGGTTGTGTAGCCTCATTGATAATGTATCAGATAATCTGAAACCTTTAATTATTAATTAAATGGGTTAAAAACACATTTTCATGTTGGGGAAAAGGTCCTAGTGAAAATTAAGTGAAATAAACCTTTTGAAAATCTATTTCTAGGCAAAGCATTTGCTTAAAACAATATGTTTTATTGATAATATTCTGTCTTGATATCTTTCGAAGGAAATAGCATCCAACATGTTCTCTGAATACACTTGAGATATTGAATTAATAACTAGAAAATCATGTTCTTTCAGAAAAAATATTTCCAAATGTGTTTATGTTTAAATCAAATACGTTGCATATATTTAAATGTCTTAGGTTACGCATTTTTGAATCTCCTCTTTTTGCCTTGTGAGTGACTAGGTCAATAAGAACAATTACTAAACGTTAGACAGGTATAGAAAACACCTTGAGAAGAAGGCATACAGATGCTCTGTATAACACAGGATGGTGTTGTAGACAAACTGAAATATAGCATCAGACGAGACAAGCTTTTTTAAGATGACATGAGGACAAGAGCTAACCGCACAATACATTACAGCTCCGACAGGTGAAGTAGAAGAACACCGCAGCCTTGACAGCTCTATGCTGCTATGGATAAAAATACATCAACACCCAGTTTTACATATGGAGATTGATGTATTTGCCATATACAAGATGGTGCGTCAGACGACTCTGTTCACTGTGTCTCTCTCACTCTTTGGCATTAGTGAGTCCATTAAAAACTGTGATTTTCCTCAAATAATTGCACTGCACTCTAACTGTCCTTTGAGGCTCACATGTTCATCAGCATGAGACAGGTGCAACACATGATCTGCCCGTGGCCATTTAAGTAAGTATTTACTGTAGCACACTTATATAAGAAGCATGTGCATAGACTGTGAGACACCTTAATAGGTATAACTATGTGATGGATGTTTTAACTGTCAAACAAGATGTTTGTTGGCTCTGGCCATCAGATGGGATTTAGAAAATGATAAATAACAAGTCTGATTGTAGTGCTAATAAAATGCACCCCACCTGGAGCATTGTACATGAGCCATTAATACATTCCCTCAAAACTTTAAATATGTAAAATTGTGTCTGACATCTGTCACAGCGAGAGCCGCCATTCTTTCTGCATCTTATTTTTGTTCTTAAGTAAATTCTTACTTTAAATGCAACCTCAGCGCACCCATTTATACTTCTCAGTTGCTACAAGAGTTACATTGTTAAATAATTCAAGTACAGGATGTATGTGTTTCCCAAATCACTGCCACTTGATACTTTTTAATTGACAGCTACGGTTCAGGATGGCAAGATTCAAACTGCCTAATGGCTTGTTTTTTCTACCCTATTTGAAAACACATAGGGCTTTTGATGGTGATGGGAAACATCTGGAGTGATAGAATTGTGAGTTTGAGGAGAAAAGACAGGCAGAAGAGGCTTTCTTGTTGGACACACACACACACATTTATACATCTATTAAAGAGCTTTTTGTGATTTTCTTCTCCCCAGTAGATGTCAGTAAAACATTCCCATCCTCTGTTTATTTTCCCCAACAATTTTGGCTCTAAAGCAGGTTTCAAAAGTAAATACTAAATAATGTCAAATCACACTAAGCCTTTAATACCAGCAGCCCTATTCTCAAATGCAACGTTGTAATAAATCAGGCAGGAATCCTCCTTTTCAAACAGTGTTAAGCGGGTAAATCCTCAATAAGTGCCAGTCCGTTATGATAAAACGAGTCATTGGGCTTTAGCAGCTGTTTGCAGAGAGAGGAGAGACAGCAGCTCCTGGTTCATGTTGTAAACAATGTGACGAAGAGCAGGACTTGTTGGCCATGTGTTCAGATGAGCAACAGGCTCCCTTTGGGGACTAAGATAAACACAAATCTAAACTCTTCTTTTGTCTATATTAGTTTGTTTCCATTTGAAATAAGTGTCAGATAATGTATATAATCAAGTGTAACTTTGTAGTCATTTATTTTTGGCTTGTTTTAAGATATTCAGGAACAGATTGGTCTCCAACACAGTGGAAATTGGTTTTACAAGACATGTAAAGACATACAGTGCGTTTGGTGTAGTTGCAGAAGGCTTTGGATACCATAAGAAGATCGTGTTACAGAGACTATAGTGTCCTCTCAAAGTACCCGATGTATTCAGTCTTTCAGAATTAAAACGTATACAGTAAGTGTGCACGTTTTTCAACATTCTCTCCAAATGTTCGCTCTCCTCGGTGCTGAAAGTAAAAAGAAGTGTGCGTAAAGCTGCGTCTAATCTGCATTGTTTTTCATTTTCTACATCCAAATGAATTGATACGAATCACATCACAGTTAATTAGCCTTTACATACATATGCAAAACGTGTCAGTACCCTGAACCTAGTCCGAGGCTAAATGAGATGATTCCCTTGAAAATTGGTAGCATATGTCTGATCCTGCTGGCATGAGGTCTAATTGGTATATTGGCGAATAATGCAATTTAAGGCTTTGGGCGATTTTCTGTTTAATATCACGTGTTGCTGGACACGCTCAGCCCGTTTCCTTGAATTTAAAAGGCAAATAACGACTGTCATTATCGGCAAAGAAATACCAGACCACTTCTTATAGCTGTGTCTCTCTGTCCCTCCCTCCCTCTCTCTCTCTCTCTCTCTCTCTCTCTCGCTCTCTCTCTCTCTCTCTCTCTCTCTCTCTGCTCTCTCTCTCTCTCTCTCTCTCTCTCTCTCTCTCTCTCCTCTCTCTCTCTCTCTCTCTCTCTCTCTCTCTCTCTCTCCTTCTCTCTGTTCTAACACACACACACACATTTACACACAGGCGCGCACACTTCTCCCCCACCTTCCCACTTTCTCCCGTGCAGCCGAGGCGCTTTTCGTCTCCAAAGCCTGTCTCCAGAAGCATGTCCTCACACATGCAGCCTCGGTGCGATGAAGCGAACCAAAAGGCGCCACCAGCTTGACAGCATGAAAGCAGGTAAGCTGATACCTGAATAATCTTTTCCCCTTATGAACTGGAGCTTGTTTTCTCAGATAGAACCAAAATGAATCGATATTTCTCAAGAAGGTTTATTGGACTCTTTCAGAGCAGTAGATAAAGTGCGTGAGTGAGCAGAGAGCAGGTTTCATTTAGTTGTCTTGCCCAAGGACACCCGGATAGAAGGGACTAGTTGTTACCATGGATAGAACCTGAGACTTCTCAAATACAGGATCAGCATTGTAGACACCTGTGATCATGATCCTCCAGCGCGTAAAAAAAACTCTGTTTTCGTTACGATTTCAAAGTTGCTTCTTTCAGCCAACTCTGTAACTATATTTACAGGAAGATATATCTAGGTAAAAGTCGATGTCATGTAATCGGCTGAAATATCGCGTACAAAACATGCCTGACAATATTTACATCTGTGGAAGATTTGCATGGTGAGTGCAAGGAAAACGAGCTGTTTTACGCTGATCCACAGCTGCCTGTGGCATATGCGCATTTTGGACGGAGAGAGGAGAGCAGAACTTTTGGTTTATTTCACATAGTCCACCAAGCAGAAATAGTCTCCATATTAAACCATGCTGTAGTATCGTTTAATGCCATCATTAGTTTTTTTCTAATCAATTACATCCAACCCCCCTGTACTAACAGGCGATTGCGCGTTGTATCATCATGTTAACCATATTTCCAACTGTTTTTCTTTAAGAATTGAATACTTTGTTTATATTTGTATACTAAGAAACACCCATTTAACAGTAATCTATGGTGTCATGGTAATGTAACGCACCTTGGATAAAAGCGTACCTAATCTCGTTCCATTCACAAAATAGCTGCTTTCTCCGACATTCTTTTGATGATAAATCTGTGCTAAAAAAGAAAAAACCCTGGTGTCTTATCATTTAAATACAGCATATGTAGATATGTGTAAATATGTATTTTCCCAGGAGCAGATTCCTCTTGTCTCCTTAATCCAATCAACCATTATTGGTTTCAACGCGTTTGATCTCCACAGCAAACGGACAAAAACATAAATGCATGTTTTTAAGCTGCCACATGATTGCTGTGTTTTCAAGTCAATAAAGACACCAGTTCAACTGCTGTACATGCATTTTGATCTTAGAAACCTATAGAATGAGAGGTGATTTCGCGTTCCGATGCGCCTTATTGCGTAAAAGCGCATCGGAACAGACTTGAGACAGCTTTGTGTCGGATTGTGTGACTGTGGGTTTACTGTGGAGATGTTTTACGCGCAGAGTGACTCTCCTCTATCATGCTTTGATGTTGTTGTGCACAAATCTATTGGAGGACCCGATCTTCACAGAGGTAAAGCTGGGATTTATCAAGCTGCTTTCCGTAATTCGCCACAATTTCTTCAGCTGCATATCTTGTTGTTTTGAGGAATCAGGCTGACAATTACAGAAAATGGTTGCGTCCTTGTGAATGAAAAGGGGGGCAGATGTCTTCTTTCCCTATCAATTGGCTGGATAACTCGATGGAGGAGGGTTACTTGTGATGGATAGAGGTAGGTTTTGGAACATTTTACTTCAATCTGACATTTAAGAGGGAGAGTTGGGTAAGAACAGCTGGTAAAACTAAAAATGAAAAGTAATCTGACTTGTTACCTTAAAGAGAAAATCTGATTATTTATTAATTATTTGGTTATTTCCCCATTTGCATTGAGAAAGTATGCTTTACAGTATATGAGCCACCTTGTTTCATACATTTTAGGACTTTTTGTTCTCTCTTTTGTGATTTTTATTTAATATGTACTATTTTGTCATGGCTTATTGATATTTACAGCAGGATCCCAAATTAAAATGCTGCTGTTACAGTTCACCCATAGCACCAAACTGTGCAGGGAGTTGATATACTTTTATCATTTTATTGTGAAGTGGGCGAATGATTTATGTGGCTTGACCTTGATTAAGTAGCTCGCTATAATTGGTTTTGTTTGAAGAGATGACAGGTAAACAAAAAGGACTAATGTCGCCTTATTTTCGTGTGTAGGTCGATGCTGGTTTTGTTCTTGCACATTCATGCACATCTCCAATTAGGAACCGGATTTGGTGTCTTGCCAACAAAAAAGACGATTTACATTTTGCTTCTGTCTGGAATCCATTCAAAAGTTTCCATCACTGCAGCCACGCAATGTTGTTTTAAAAAAAACAGCACTTCAGGGGAACAAGTGAATACTTAAGGGTCGATTCTTTGTGTGCAAAATAATGTTTATCCCCCTTGCAAAAATCCTGATCCAAATTTGGGATCACAAGGTAAATCAAACTGATCACAGATGCAGTGCTAAAGAAACAAACATAATCTGGTGCTCCTTCTGATTTTTTTTTGCTGGATACTTGATCATGACTGCCATCTGCTACACTTCTTGAACCAAAGGCTTCACAGAAGAGCCATTTGTTTGTTTGTACATAAAGATGTTTGCCTATTGTGTTTTTTAAAGAAAACAGGAGCAGGGAATAATCATTTCTTTAATAAAAAAAAACCTCTAAATGCTAATTTGTCATGAATTCACATTATAGTCATATTGTCAAATGAGAAAATGTAATTATCATACAACCAGTAAACAATGTTTTTTTCTGAACTGTCAAATCAATTTCTCTGAATTATTATATTTTTAACTGTCCTCAGCCTTAGTTTCCTTCAAGTTATCTTCAGAATTTGGCGCACGTTAACAACCTTTTACGTCCATCAAAAACAAATATTAACCCTTAGAATAAGGCTGCATACCAATCTGTGCTGCCATCTCTTTGCAAGTTTGCAGAAGTTTCTCCGCCTTTTCCTTATCACCCTCTTTGACATCCTGATGTTGATGTATGAGTTTTGGATGCACTGTGACAGTTATTTGATGGGTTTTCAATTGCTGCTGGCCAACTGATGTTTATCGAGGTCAGTCATGTGGCCTCGTTTTTTTCTTTTTCCAAAGACCCCCCCTTAACTCTATTGATATTACATTAGTGATGGAGATATTATGGACTGTGTATCATTTTTACTATAGGTGCTTCTCTGTGATAGCAAATGATGGCATGCATTGATTTGTGTATGGTGCTTAGACATCGATTCTGCATGAAAAGTGCTTATTGGCATGTTGGTTAATGCAGATAAGTGTCAAATGACAGATGTACATTCAAATGTCATAGAATTTCAATGTTTGAGGCACCAACAACAGATTTTTGCAGCTGTGTTAAAAAGGGAAGCTTATCGCCCCCTGTGGTGAAAACAGAACATTGACAGGTATTGAGTGATTCATTGCTGATTTCTTTCACATTGAAATATTTTATTGCTAAATGTGTATCCACACACACACACACACAAAACAAAATGTATGACTCTTTCTTGGCCACACTCACATGGAGGACGGAGAGTGGAGGAGAGATTGAAGGAGGAGGCTCATGCCAACGCTCCTACATAGCATGCATGCACACATATTCCTAAATCTGTGCTTTTGGCAGCGGTGGAAAGAGTGTTTGAGGCAACGTTGCTTTTGTAAAAAGTTACATTTAGCCAGTGGGGTGCCTCATTCCATGGACCTAAGCTTCTTGGTTGTAGAGCGGCTGCACAGTGCACATTAGTGAATCTGTGTAGCTGGCACACACAGAAAGGAATGTCTAATTATCACGCTTTCAACCGCAGTAGGCTCATCTATTTGCACTGCTCTAATCGCTTTTTTTTATCATTACACCCTTATTTTCTTTATTTTTGCCCAATTCAAAAGGTTATTTTTGCACTGTGTGGATGGGCCGGGCAGTCCGTGCAGCATTAGCTGGGTGTTGCAGAAAGGTGTAATTGAGCAGAAAGAGAAGATTGGCTCTGCTAATATGTGGACATTGTGTGGAAGAGAGGAAAAGAGATTTTGTGAAGGGGTGTTACATCACAGTGAACATGCAGTTTACAAGTGCGTGTACGTATGGGTGGTTAAGGTTGTGCCAGGGGAAAGACTAACAGGTTGATTTGACTCATGCATTTATCTATATATGGTTTCATCATCAGATTTCCAAATGGCTAGTGTAGCCTTTAGCTGGGCTTCTTATCAGATGCTGAGTGATTGCAGAGCTTTACAATATGAAGTGCCGCTAAACCACTGCACGAAGTGGCATTGATTGGAAAAGATGGGAGGAGGGAGGTTCCTCCTTAAGGTCATTATCTAGCAGACCGAAATAGTTAGACGAAACAAACCAGTGTAATTGCATTTGTAACAAAAGACTTGGAATCAATGGACTTAGCACTACATACAGCATCGTGTCAGCATATTTCATCGACAAAGAAATTGATTCAGTGGCACTTAAACCGCACGTAAAATGACACGTTGCGGTCATGAAGGTGATGTGTTTCACACAGAGTAAATCATAGCTTAACACTGCTGTAATATGTGCAACCTGGGGATAACATAAAAACAAGTGCAGTGTAAGAAGCAATATTCTTTTTCTTTAAGGTCGTAGTACCTACAGTATGTGATGATATAGTCGGTTATAGTTCACGTCTCATAGTTATTTTAAAGTTGCATTGATGCATTGACACATTTTGTGGCCACCTGGAGGCAGTGGAAACAAGTTGTGGATATAGTAAACTTATAAACAAACAATCGCTTACTTACACATTCAGTAGATTTGGAGCATTAGTATTTCTTTACATTGTTAATGACCACCTAAAACCAATATTCCCGTAAGCTCTGTTTTTGGTCTGCTCCAACCGTGCTCTCGCACAGAAACAGGTCACCGTGGTGATGCTGAATTGTGAACTCCAAGCAGCAGCAGCAGCAGGTGTAGTACGACCCTCGAGATCCCTTTGAATGTTCTCTGCTTCCAAAAGCCTCAGGTGTTCCTCAGCTCAGCCGCTCATCCAGCAACAATGTCAGGCGGCCATTTCATGCTCTTAATTACTTTAAACCTCAGTAGGAGATAATTTCTGCCGGCGACTTTAAGCTCTGGCTCTGCCTTCATCATTGGCTCCATAAAACATGCAGCGTGCTCGTCTGCTCTGGA